ACTTTGCCTTGAACCTGGAAGGGACATTATCTGAAGAAGCAAAATTAATTTTCCTGCCATTTTGATCGATTTCACAGATGAACCTCAAACGCCTATCACTTCGTTTCGGTGACACTAGTGGCTAAATTTTATCTTTTATTTTTTAGAAAACACCACCTGATTTCACGAATGTAGCTGAATGGCTGACCCCAGGTGTCTGCTCAGACTTTGTAAAAACACGTTAATAAAATATAGAGGTTATGGAAAAGTAGTCTTCCTAATGGAAACTCTGTGCCCCTAGACACACAAAAAACACAGAGAAGCTTATTTCTGCGACAGAAAGGTTACGGTTTCTAGGAAGGCTGTATCTCCACCCATTAAAATTCCGGCATGTCATCAGGGAAGTCCACATGAAATGCCGATCTATAAAATTGGCCAGCAACTCTAATTTTTATGCGACCATTTCGATAACTGGACCTTTATATGCCATTCTTAATCGATGCAAATGCGATGGAGCGGCCACCCATTGAGGATGGACAACGACCAACACCCTAAACGGCTCTTGTACGGAGATGCGGGGTGCTTGTCCACAGGGAGGTTAAAAGCCGTGCTGCAGTGAAAACCTAGCGAACCCTCTTAAACGATCGTAAATCTACCCAATAATCTTCCATTTTTTCCTCTTGGGCTGACCAGTATCGAGAATAGTATTTAAGAGTGGCACCACCATCCGCAAAACAAATCAAATGACTGCTGCCGAGGCAGAAAGGGCGTATCGGAAGTAATGTGCACGTCGTTTACATACCGGCAATACCAAAGTCCTACCAACATGCCCACACTGCCAGTGCACGTTCGGCGGGCAGATTGGTTCCGTTGGATATCTTCGCGACCCATGCAAAAACATTCCAAAGATATCAAGTTCTACAAAAACGAATAATTCCCCTGATTTGAAACCCACTATAGCGACCATCCACACCACTGATGACCGGCCGTTCTCAATCACTGGCATAATCCTTGCTGACGCAAACCCCACGTAGATCACAGTAGCGACCACCATTTATAAAATTTCCGTTACTTCTGTTAACTCCGCCGACGCGCCACTTGCTACCTCCATTAACACCGGCATTTCCTCAGCAATTGAGAGCAGAGTCTAATTTGTCCTCAGTGAGGTCGCACATTTAACTAACATGTGGATTCATCTCACAGAGACTGAAGAACCAGGGAAGAGATTAAAAATAAACAACAGAGACAGCTACACTCATTGCTCCCATTCAATATCTAAATACATGGGCCTACTCGGCCATATGCATATTCAAGATGGGGGAGTCCACTGCCATGCCAACACACCTATTAGATCCGGCACACCCATCAGTAGTTCCACTCCACATCCTTCAATTCGTCTGACCACGAACGGCAATAACAACAGAAACAATAGTGCCATCAATTAAGCATTTCTCGATCTTAAAACACATGGCCCCGCCGTGACAGCGCGGCTCAGAAGGCGGCAGGAGGGGATGGCCCCGTCAGAATTAAATTAAGACCAATTACTATTCCAGAAGTTAAAATGCGAAAATATTCGCGGTCCAGAGATAATTTTACCTTCATTTTCCC